GATTTCGACAAGCCATTCCAGGTGGATACAGATGCTTCGGCTGTTGGCGTGGGCGCGGTCCTCTCCCAAGATGGTAAACCCGTAGAATTTTTTAGTGAGAAGCTGAGCACGGCAAGGCAGAAATGGTCGGCATACGAACAAGAGTTGTATGCCGTCGTCCGGGCACTTAAACAATGGGAGCATTATTTATTGCATAAGGACTTTGTGCTATGTAGTGATAATCAAGCCTTGCAATACATTAACAGCCAGAAGAATATTAGTCGTATGCATGCTCGATGGATTGTCTTTTTCCAAAGATTCAGTTTTGTTATTAAACACAAGGCCGGTCGCATCAACCGAGTAGCGGACGCTCTCAGCCGAAGGGCGGCATTACTTACTCATCTGCAGACGGAAGTTACTGGGCTGCAGGAATTGAAGAATTTGTATGCCGCAGACAAGGATTTCTCTCAGCCTTGGACCGATTGCACTCAAGGGAAGCCACAGCAAGATTTTTCGCTTCAGGATGGATTTCTGTTTAAGGGGAATAGTTTGTGCATTCCCGACTCATCTTGGCGAGCCCAATTAATCAAAGAGTTGCATAGTGGGGGGTTATCAGCTCATGCCGGTCGTGACCGAACTCTTGAACTTCTCCAATCTCGCTTCTTTTAGCCTCACCTTCGCCGAGATGTAGCGAGATTTGTTGAAAGATGCTCCATTTGTCAGCGATACAAAGGTACAAGTCAAAATACGGGACTTTATTTACCGCTACCCACTCCCGATTCTATTTGGGAGGATTTATCTCTAGATTTTGTTTTGGGCCTGCCTAGAACCAAGCGGGGGTCGGATTCGATCATGGTAGTTGTGGATCGATTCTCAAAAATGGCGCACTTCATACCTTGCAAGAAAACATTCGATGCCATTAACATTGCTCATCTTTTTTTCAAAGAGATTATCAGGTTGCAAGGCCTACCCCGAAGCCTCACTTCGGATCGTGATGTCAAGTTCGTCAGCCATTTCTGGAGAGAACTATGGAGATGCTTGAAGACCGATCTTAATTTGAGCTCCGCTTACCATCCCCAAACAGATGGCCAGACCGAAGTTGTCAACCGCACCTTGGGTAGCATGCTGCGCTGCCTTGTTCAAGAAAATCCAAAGAAGTGGGAAGAGCTCCTATGCCACGCAGAATTTGCTTACAATTCGCTGTCGAATCGCTCCACTAAGCGTAGTCCGTTCCAGGTGGTATATACTAAACCCCCTAATCATTTAGTTGATCTAGCCATTTTGCCTAAATGCAGTCGAACGGGAGTCACCAAAACTATCTCCCAAGCCACCGAAACCATCCAGACCGTGAAAGCCCAGCTCGAAGAGTCCAACGCCAAATACAAACAGATGGCTGATGTTCGTAGGCGTTTCAAGAGCTTCAACCCTGGCGACCTCGTGATGGTGCGCATGCGCCGTGAACGTTATCCTCAAGGCAGCTATTCAAAACTCAGCCCCAGGAAGTTGGGACCTTTTCCAATTCGCCATAAGATTAATGACAATGCTTATGTCATTGGGCTTCCACCGGACATCCACACTTCACCAACATTCAACGTCTCCGACATTTATGAGTATCATCCTCCCGATGGGACTATAGTTATCGCCAGCTCGTCGGAGTCGAGCTCTTCGGAAGCGGGGGAGATCTGATGCAGGTGCTATCCCTTTTGGTGATCCGGCGGACCAGCTTATACCCACTTCCTGCGCCACTCCTTCTTATTCCCTGCTTAAAGCTGTTTTTCTGTTATTTTTAGTACAAGCACTTTAGACTCTATTTTATTTTTGCTTTCCTAAAATTAGTCTTTTTCTTCTATATGTTCACTGGATGTAATGAAGCTCAGTAGACTTGATATCAAACAAATTTCCGGTTACTGTTACATTGGAGCTCAGCTCTTGTTCTTGGCTCCCGTTTTCTCATAGCTGCTGCACCATAAGTTTTGGTATCAGAGCTAGGCTATTCAAGTGAATGGCGGAAGGCAGCAGCCACCCCCGACCCGACGGTGATCGGAGTCTTGAAGCCCTTTGGGAAACTCACCGACAAACGTCGAAGCAGCTTGAGGAGCTGATGACTACCTTCGGCCGATTTGCAGAAGAGATGCGGAACGAGCTTCGTCAAATAAGGGTAGCTACTAATCCAGGAGCTAGGCCATTCGTTCCGGCAGCCATACCGGAACAGAGACCACCCGTCAGACAAGGCGCGATGCATAGACGAGCCCCTGTCACGATTCCTGAATACTCGGGGTCGGATGAGGAAGAGGTACCCAGGCAGGAACACTCCGATTCTGAAGGAGAAATTTTCTTCCCGCAACAAACCAGAGGACGGCGGCACCATATGCAGCGGAATGAATCCGAGGGATTCCGTATAAAACTAGATATTCCCTTCTTCGATGGCAGGCTTCATGTCGAGGATTATCTTGATTGGGAAAGCGCTGTAGAAAATTTCTTTGATTATATGGAAGTCAATCCGGAGAAGCAGGTTAAGTATGTGGCGTGCCGACTCAAGGGAGGAGCTACTGCGTGGTGGTCGCAGCTCCTTCAAAATAGACAGTGGGAAGGTAAGAGTCCAATACGTAGTTGGGTTCGAATGAAACAGCTCATGAGGCGGCACTTCTTACCCACCGATTTTGAGCAGCTCCTCTATCTACAATATCAGCATTGTCGGCAGGGACAGCGATCAGTCAGTGAGTACACTGAGGAGTTTTACAGATTAAGTGCCCGGAACAATCTGATGGAGTCGGAGAACCAGTTGGTAGCACGCTATATCGGGGGACTGAAGGAAAATCTGCAAGACAAGCTCGAACTCAATTCCGTATGGTCTCTTTCGCAAGCGGTAAACTTCGCGCTTAAGGCGGAGGCTCAAAGCCAACGTCAGTTTCGTTCCCATGCTTCTCGCAGAACAGTTACAGATGGAAATATGGGAACCTCTCGAGCAACAACACCTCCGACTAAGCCGCAACCCACTGCACCAGCTGCCCCGAGCAATGTAGCATCGGAAGTTAAGGGAGTTTTAAGGCCGAGAGCCTCCATCCGAGAAAATCCTTATGCTAAACCCAATGTCATCAAATGTTTTAGGTATTTACAGCCCGGGCATAAGTCGAATGAATGTCCATCGCGTCACCAAGTTCAACTAGCTGAAGGAGAAGATGAAGCAGATTTTGCCGGAATTCTTGATGAAGTTGATGATGGAATCGAAGAAATTAGAGCTGATGAAGGAGAACCGGTTCTTGGGGTCATGGAGAAGGTGCTCTTGTCGCCACGGAAACCTGTCGAGACCCAACGACACTATTTATTCCGCTCCAAGTGCACCATAAACGACAAGGTTTGCGATTTGGTGATTGATAGCGGGTGCACCGAGAATATTATCTCGAAGGCGGCTGTTCAAGCTCTACAACTCAAAACAACTAAACACCCGAATGCCTTCAAGATTGGGTGGGTTAAGAAAGGAGTTGACTTCCTCGTATCCGAGCTATGCAAGGTGTCATTTTCTATTGGCAAGAAATATTTATGTCAAGTTACTTGTGATGTCCTCGAGATGGACGTATGCCACCTCATTCTGGGAAGACCGTGGCAGTATGATGTTGGTGCAATACACGACGGCCGAGCAAACACTTACACTGTGGATTTTAATGGGAGGAAACTGAAGTTAATGCCCGCTAGTCAAACCCAAGGTGGAGTCCCAACCAGCCTTGCATCAGCTTGCATTGTCGCGGGGCGTGAACTGTTCCAGCTCAAAGGAACAGGGTGTCCAGTGTTCGCCTTAGTTACAAGTGACATACAACAACCAAAGTTTACTCTCTTACACCCAGACATTCGGCACTTAATTGATTCATTCCAGGACATTACTTCTGCTGAATTACCTCCTAGTCTCCCGCCTGTCCGAGACGTTCAGCATCAGATTGAATTACTTCCAGGCGCAGTTCTCCCCAATCTACCATATTACCGCATGAGCCCCCGTGAACACGCGATCCTTCAGAAAATAGTGCAAGAGTTGCTGGACAAGCAGTTCATACAGCCGAGTTTGAGTCCGTGTGCCGTACCAGCTCTCATTGTGCCAAAGAAAGATGGTCAATGGCGTCTGTGCATTGACAGTAGAGCCATCAATCGCATTACCATTAAATACAGGTTCCCGATACCGAGGATCACTGACCTGCTGGACAAGCTCTCGGGCTCTTCCATCTTCTCGAAATTAGATTTGAGAAGTGGATACCATCAGATTCGCATAAGGCCGGGAGATGAATGGAAGACTGCCTTCAAGACTGTCGAAGGACTGTTCGAGTGGAAGGTCATGCCCTTCGGTCTTTGCAACGCTCCATCTACTTTCATGAGACTCATGCATGAAGTCTTGAAACCATATTTGGGTCAGTTTTGTTTAGTTTACTTTGATGATATTTTGATATTCAGCTCGTCTCATGAACAACATGTTGCTCACCTCAAATCTGTCTTAGAAATATTACGGGATAATCAACTCTTCCTTAATCTAGCCAAATGCGAATTTGCTGTTGCTAGTGTCCGTTTCCTGGGATTTGTTTTGACTGCTGCCGGTGTTATGACCGATCCAACAAAAATCGCAGCTATCCAGGATTGGTCGCAGCCAACGTCTCTTACAGACGTGCGTAGCTTCCATGGGCTCGCCAATTATTACCGTCGATTCATCAAGGGCTTCAGCAGTATCATGGCCCCGATTACAAATTGTTTGAAATCGGCCGTCTTTGCTTGGACCCCGGCGCAGCAAAGGAGTTTTGAACGGATCAAGGCTACTCTCTGTTCAGCTCCGGTA